CTGCCCGGCCAGGCCGTGCAGTGCTTTCCGCGCCTCCCCTTAGGAGGGGTTAAACCTCTTTCCTGCAGCTGGAGTTCACTCGTCGTCTAACCCGGCGTGGGCACGGAGGACGAGGACTGCCGCTGCCCTCTCTTCGCCGGGCAGACCTGGCGTTTCACAGAAATGGTTCGAGTGGAACGGCAGCTCCCTGGCAGAGAACGGGACTCTCCGGGTTGCTTTTTCCTGCGTTGGTTTTCTAGAAACGCAGATGAAAAGAGCAGGATATAGGGCCATGGATATGGGTCTCCTTGATGCTTTACGCAGACAGTGGCAGGTCCTTATCTTAGCTCGCATGGCCAAAGGGCTGCTCGGAGAGCGTCAGACTGCGCCTAGGCTTTGCGGACAGCTGCGCAGGGCAGTGCTAGGGGAGCAGAGGTACGGAAAAGGAGCGAGGGAGGTGGCAAAGGTGAGGTCCAAGACACAGTCTGGGAAGGGTGGAAAGACACAGGCAGAGCTGCGGAGGGGATTCGTTTTCAGGAGCATCTGGGAGAGACGGGGTGAGGCAGGATCGCCCCACGCGCGCGAGGCGGCTGAGGCGGGCGCTTGCCCTAGAACCGCCGTCTGCATCGGCTCCTTCGCAATCGATGCAAGGAGAGAGAGTTTCCTCTGGAGGGTGATGCGGAGCAATCAAGGCAGACAATAATTCGCCTCTGAATTGTCCTCTGGAGACCTCAGCGGAGAGGCTGGGTGTCTGAAGTTAGCAGTGGTGGGCACGTGACAGGCAGCGACAACCTGGATACCTCTGTCACCAACACCGCTTGCCTGTAGATCTCTCGCGTTTCGTGTGGGGAGGAGATCTGTCGCCTGCGGTGGTGCGACCTTCCCCGGGGAGGGCGGCGGGGCTCTCACCCGCCGTCACCTCCGGCGAAGGGTGTCAGAGCCAGGAACAGCGCTGAGGTCTCCCGCGCCCAGCCCTGCGCTGCCGAGCGAGACGGGCCGAGGAGCCTGGGACGTAGGACGCCGGGGAGGAGCTCTGCTTTCCAAGTCCCAACGTTTTTCCAACCCCAGCGATATTTGCCAGAGCTAAGTCCAGGTGACGAGCGTATCGGCACCTCCCGGCAGCGCTGGAGAAATGCGGGAGAGGCAGGTTTTTCAGGAGACACCTGAAAGCAAGGCTGTGCCGAGCTCGGTGTTGGTTGCTCTGGCTGTGAGCAACCCCTCGGGCTGAGCGTGGGGCGGACCGCTACGAAACCCCGAAGGGACCGGGGGAGATAAAGCTAAGGGCCGTGGTGGCCTTGGGGGGCTGGTTCCTGGAAAGCATCACAGTCGTTGGGTGAGCCGGTAGCGCCAGCCGGGAGGCTGGGGAAAGGT